AGCCCGCGGGTTCGAGACCCACTTGGGCAGCAAGACTTCATCTCTACAATAAATCAAAAAAAAAATCAGCCGGGCGTGATAGCATGTGCCTGTAATTCCGGCTACTCAGAAGACTGAGGCGGAAGGATCGCCGGAGCCCAGCAGGTTGAGGCTGCGGTGGCCGGGAGCGGCCACTGCACTCCAGTCTGGGTGACAGAGTGAGACTCCAACTCAAAAAAAAAAAAAAGAAAAAGAAAGGAAAGATATTCCAAGTAAAGGGAACATCATGAGCAAAGATGAAAATAAGTATAACGCTGGGCACAGTGGCTTACACCATAACCCACTTTGGGAAGTGGAGGCAGGAGGATTGCCTGAGCCCAGGGGTTCAAAACCAGCCTGGGCAACTTAGTGAAACCTTATCTCTACAATAAAGCAAAAAATTAGCCAAGCTGGTGGCACCCACCTATAGTTCCAGCACTTTGGAAGACTGAGGTGGAAGGATCACCTGAGCCCCGGAGGTCAAGGCTACAATAACTGTGAGCATGTCACTGCACTCCAGCTTGGGTAACAGAGTGAGACTCTGACTCAAAAAAGAAAAAAAACATGTAGGTAGCTTGGAGAAATGCACATACATCCTTGTGACCACACACAGACTTTGTGGGAAAAGTTATTAAAGATAGATAGGTGCAGTGTTTAGGCTTTGAGCTTAGACTAATGGTTCCACAATTTGCACTTTGGAGTCTCCCATGAAACTTAAAAAATACTCCTGTCCCTTTCCCTCCTCATTATGATTTTTTTTTTTTTTTTGAGTTGGAGTCTCACTCTGTCACCCAAATTGTAGTGCAGTGGCCGCTCCCGCCGCAGCCTCGACCTGCTGGGCTCTGGTGATCCTTCCACCTCAGCCTTCGAGTAGCTGGAACTACAGGCGTGCGCTACCATGCCCGGCTAATTTTTTGATTTATTGTAGAGATGAGGTCTCGCCTGCCCAGGCGGGTCTCGAACCCTCAGGCTCAGGCAATTCACTCACCTCAGCCTCCCAAAGGTGCGGGATTACAGGCTGAGCCACCGAGCCCGGCTATCCTTCACATTTTAAGTAAATTATCCTTTAGGAGGCCTTCATAACCACCTTCTCATTCTTAAGTCCCGGCTCAGTGCCTCTCCTGTGTGCTTCTATAGCAATGTGTTCCTTATCTCTGCACCTGTCACACTGTTTAATTTTTATATAATAGTGTAGATTATTGTCAAATAAATTTGGGGGTGAGACAACAGATTTGTTTTTATGTAAGCCTTGAGGCAGTTGGAAATGCTAATTTACCTCTAAGATAAGATTTGGGTTAGAGATAAAGTTGTAGGAGTCAGTAGTGTCTGGGTCCGTTATTTTCAATCATGGCTCTATATTAGCGAATCTGGGAATCTTTGAAAATATTCCAACCGGGCTCGGTGGCTCAGCCTGTAATCCTGCGCTTTGGGGGGCTGTGGTGAGTGGATTGCCTGAGCCCGCGGGTTTGAGACCCACCTGGGCAACTTGGCGAGACCTCATCTCTACAATAAATTTAAAAATTAGCTGGGCGTGGCAGCACGCGCCTGTAGTTCCAGCTACTTGGAGGGCTGAGGCGGAAGGATCACGGGAGCTCAGCAGGTCGAGGCTGCGATGGCCGGGAACAGCCACTACACTCCAGAAAAAAAAAATTCCCCCAGCCCGGGCAACTTGGCGAGAAACTCGTCTCTACAATAAATAAAAAAATTAGCCGGGCATGGTAGCACGCACCTGTAGTTCCAGCTACTGGGAAGGCTGAGGCGGAAGGATCGCTGGAGCCCAGCAGGTCGATGCTGGGGTAGTCGTGAGCATGCCACTGCCCTCCAGTCTGGGTGACAGAGTGAGACTCCAACACACACAAAAAAGCAAAGAAAATATTCCCAATTCATGGCTCTACTGTAGATCAGTTAATCATAATCTCTGAGGAAGGAGAGGCTCAGCATCAGTAACTTTTAATAACTCTTTAGGGCCAGGTGCAGTGGCTCACTATATTCCCAGCACTTTGGGAGGCCAAAGTGAGAGGATTTCCTGAGCCCATGGGTTTGAGACCAGCCTAGGTAACTTAGCGAGACCTCATCTCTACAATAAATCCAAAAATTAGTTAGGTGTAGTGGCTTATGCCTATAGTTTCAGCTACTTGGAAGGCTGAAGCGGAAGAATCACCTGAGCCCAGCAGGTCAAGGCTGCGGCGGCCATGAGTGTGCCACTGCACTCCAGCCTGGGCGACAGAGTGAGACTCCAACTCAAAAATAAAATAAAAGCTCTTTAGGACATGATTCCATTGTGCATCAGACTTGAGGTCCACCAGTAAAGGTTAAGAGAATAATGTAGAGTCAGAAAGTAGGAGGTTTGTAGTCAGAATCTGGAGAAATAACCAACATTTCAGGGTAAATTGAGGAAGAAAGCCAGCAAAGGACACCCTTTGTGGGCCAGAATACTGAGTCATTTGGTCTTCAGTGCCACATTTCACTACTTCACTGTTGAAAGAATATTATTGTATTTGCTTTATGGATATATAACTTCTGGTTGTCACTGTATTTCTTTTTTCTTTTTTTTTTTTTTTGAGAAAGCAGTATTTATTGAGAGGACAGAAAAGGTCCCACAGTGAGAGGGGACCTGAGGGGGTTGCCCAGCACTGTATTTCAAACAGAAACTACATTTATCTGCCTTTCCTACTTCTGCGAGTTTGTAGCAATTCCTTTGCTTCCCATCTCCCTGCCACTAAAACCTAAACAAACTGATCTATGCAGAGATGATTTTGTAGTAGCCTACAAGTTATTTTTACATTAAACAACAGGAGCCCGGGAAAGGATCCCATGTTTCAGAGGTTCCCATCTATGTAATTTGTAATTTGCCCAAAGCCCAGTTTTTTTGTTGGTTTTTTTTTTTTTGAGTCGGAGTCTCACTCAGTCACCCAGACTGGAGGGCAGTGGCCGCTCCCGGCCACCGCAGCCTCGATCTGCT